CCTGTACTCTAACAAGTTGGAAAACACAAAAGAAATGGATAGATTCCTAGAGACATATGACTTACAAGAGTTCAATCAAGAAGATATACGACCAGGATTTAGCTCAGTGGTTTCGCCGCCTGCTACCCAAGCACAAGGACGCGAGTTCGATCCCTGGTACCAAAAAAAAGAGAAAGAATTTTCCTGCCTCGCAAGGGCAAGGTCCCGAGTTCAATCCCTGGTACCAAAAAAAAAAAAAAAAGGGAAAGAAATACGCCGGGGATTTAGCTCAGTGCTTCCACCGCTTGCCTCCCAAGCGCAAGGACCCGACTTTGATCCCTGGTACCAAAAAAAACAAAAACAAAAAAAGGAGAAGATATATTCTTGGGCCAGGGATTTAGCTCAGTGGTTTCGCCATCCGCTGCGCAAGCGCAAGGCCCCGAGTTCGATCCCCGATACCAAAAAATAAACGATATAAAGATTCTAAATAAACCAATATCAGTCAATGACATTGAAGATGTAAGTAAAAACCCACCCACAAAGAAAAGCCCGGGCCTTGACAGATTCACTACTGTATACCACAAGAAATGGAGAGAAAATCTAATGCTGCTATTTCTCAAACTCCTTATTGAAAGAGAAAGAGAAGCAATACTCCCAAATTCATTGCTGGAAGTAAGCATTACCCTGATACCAAAACCAGAGAAGGATCTAACTAAAAAGGAGAGCTACAGCCCAATCTCCCTAAAGAACATAGATGCAAAAATCCTCAATGAGATACTGGCAAACAATGCAGGAAATCATCAAGATTATATACCATGACCAAGTAGGATTCATCCCAGGGATGCACACATGGTTCAGCATATGTAAATCCATAAATGTAATGCGCCATATTAACTGAGCCAAGGACAAAACCACATGATCATCTCGATAGATGCAGAAAAGGCATTTGACAAAGTCCAACACCTATTCATGATAAAAATCCTACAGAAAATTGGAATAAATGGGCTTTATCTCAATCTGATAAAAGCTATCTATGACAAACCAACAACCAATATTCAAAATTGAATGTGTTCAATGTTAAAAAATTGAAAGCTTTAAAAAAAATTGAAAGCTTTCATTCTAAAACCAGGCATAAGACAAGGATGTCCACCATCACCACTCTTATTGAATATAGTTCTGGAAACATTAGCCAGAGCAATTAGACAAGAGAAAGAAATAAAAAGTATAAGGATAGGAAAGGAAGAAGTTAAATTATCATTATTTGCAGATGATACTCTACGTAGAGGACCCCAAAAACTCCACCAAAAGATTTGTAGATTTAATAACCAAATTCAGTAGCGTAGCTGGATACAAAGTCAACACTCACAAGTCAATAGCCTTTCTTACGTGAATAACAAACTCACTGAGAGAGAAATTAGGACAACCACACCTTTCACAATAGCATCAAAAAAAAAAAAAAAAAAAGAAGAAGAAGAAGAGGAGAAAGAAATACCTGGAATCAATCTAATGCAAGAAGTAACAGACCTCTACATGGAAAACTACAGTACTCTGAAAAAGGAGATCGAAGAGGATATTAGAAATGGAAAGATATCCACTGTTCTGATAGGAAGAACCAATGTAGTGAAAATGACCATACTTCCAAAATTGTTATACAGATTTAATGCAATCTTGATCAAAATTCCAACAGCAGGGCCGGGAATTTAGCTCATTGGCCTCATGCCTGCCTTGCAGCACAAGGCCCTGAGTTTGATCCCTGGTACCAAAAATAAAAAATAAAAATAAAAATTCCAACAGCATATCTCACAAAATTAGAGAAAACAATTTTAAAATTCATTCAGAACCAGAAGAGACCTAGAATAGCAAAAGCCATTCTGGGTAACAAAACAAGGCAGGGGGCATTACAACCCCTAACTTGAAATTATACTACAAAGTTACAATGATTAAAACAGCATTAAACTGGCAAAAAAAACAAAAACAAAAACAAAACAGACCGAGGATCAATGGAACAGACCAGAAGATGCAGAAATAACTCCAAACACATTCAGCCACCTTATCTTTGACAAAGGAGCCGAACACTCACTGGAAGAAAGATAACTTCTTTAATAAGATAGCTTTCCATGTGCTGAAAATTTAAACTAGACCCATATCTTTTACCATGCACTAAACTAAAATTAAAGTGCATCAAAGATCTAAATATTAAAACAGAAACACTAAATCTGCTAGAAGATAGAATATGTAGAACTTTTGATGACATAGGTGTATGCCAAGACTTTATGAACGAAACCCTGACTGCACAGGAAATGTCACATAGAATCAACAACTGGGCGTGGGATTTAGCCCAGTGGCACCTTGCCTGCCTTACAAGTGCAAGGTTGTGAGTTTGATCCCTGGTACCAAAAACAAACAAACAACTGGGATCGCATCTTATAAAAGGCTTTTGAACAACAAAAGAAACAAGCAACAGAGTGAAGAGACAAGCCAGAGAGTGGGAAAATTTTTTTGCCAGGGCCGGGCACTTAGCTCAGTGGTTCCACCACCTGAGTTTTGATCCCCAGTACCAAAATAAAAAAAATTTTGCCAGCGGTTCCTCAGACAAAAGACTAATATCTAGAATATATACAAAATGCAAAAAAAAAAAGAAAAAAGAAATCAGACACCCCCCCCCAATTCAAAGACCCAATTCAAAAATTGGCATCTGAAATGAACATACCCTTCTCAAATGAAGTTGAAATGGCCAATAAATATATGAAAAAAATATTCAACATCACTGGTCACTGAAGAGATGCAAATTAAAACGCAGATTCTGTCTCCCACCAGAAAGAATAGCTATTATCAAGAAATCAACCAATAACAAATACTGGCTGGGCAGTGGGGTAAAGGGGATTCTTCACTGTTGGTGGGAGTGTAGACTGTTGCAACCACTGTGGAAATCAGTGTGGAGATTCCTCAAAAAATCTAAAACTAGCTATTCCATTCAACCCAGGTATTCCCTTTTTGGTTTCTTTCTGAAAGAATTTAAAGCATCATATCACAGCAATATAAGCACACCCATATTCATAGCAGCACAATTTGTAATAGCTACATCTTGGAAACAGCCCAAATGCCCATCAACTGACAAATGGATAAAGAAGATGTGGAGGGTTTTTTTTTGTTTTTTGTTTTTTTAACACAATGGAGTACTACTGTGCCATAAAGGATGAGCTTGAGACATCTAGCTAAATGGATGCACCTTGAGGCCATAGTCAAGTGAAATAAATTGGACACACATATTCAAATATCGCATGGTTTCTCTAGTATGAGAAACCAAAAGTATAAATAAGGACCTAAATGTATAGTAGTTATTGTGAAATAGGAAGAAAATGTTCAAATGAGAAGGAGAACTAGAGAGGGAGTAGGGGAAAAGGAAAAAAGAATAGAAGGAAAAACTGGAAACATTTTGGACATAGAAAGGGGAAGCAGGGCTGAAAGGAGGGTAGAGAACTGGGAAAAAAAAGAATCAAGATATATCATGTACAGGTACAAATTCCATATGATGAATGCTATGTATATCTAAAATGTACCAATAAAATTAGTTTTAAACAGAAAAAAATGACATTGGATATGTCTAGAAGAACCATTTCTTTCGGAGTTTTTAAGTTTTCATTATATAATTTTATTATTTTAAAATATTTAATTAAAAATCCACAAAAACTAGTGTGTAAAATTTAAAAGGGTCTACACAGTACAGGAAACAATCAACAGAGTGAAGAGACAACCTACAGCTTGGGAAAACATTTTTGCCTGCCACTCTGTGGACAAAGAACTAATATCTAGACTATATAAAGAACTAAAAAAAAAAACCCTTCAAAAAATTAGATCTCCTCAAATGAAAGACGCAGTTAAAAACAGGAAACTGAACAGACACTTGTCAGAAAAAATACAAATGGCCAATACAGTGGACCCTTGATTTATGAACTCAATTGATTCCCGAGTAACTCAAGTTTGTATCTAAGTCAATACAGCTGGGATCTGGATGTTTACCTGGGTCCATGCTATAGATAACAAGAGGCAGATGATCTTCCCTTAACCTAATTAACCCAAGTTGTTTGTATGTCAGGCCATTTGTAACTTGAGAGTCCACTGTAAACAAAAAATGTTCAACATCTCTGGCTATTAGAAAAGTGCAAATTAAAACAACATTGAGATGCTATCTTTAGAAAGGATGGCTATCATCAAGAAATCAAATAATAACAAATGCAGTTGAGACTTTGGGGAAAAAGGAACCCTTCTACATTGCTAGTGGGAGTGTAAACTAGTACAGTCCCCCACCATGTAAATTAGTATGAAGGCTCCTTGAGAAAGTAAAAATAGAAATTCCGTTAGAACCAGCGATTCCCTTCCTAGGTATCTTCCTAAGAGTTAAAGATGTTACATTACAGTGACACAGGCATATCCATGTTTATAGCAGCACAACTCATAACAGATAGATCTTGGAAGCAGCCTATATGCCCATCAACGGATGAAGAAAATGTGGTATTTATACATAGTGGAGTACTACTTAGCCATAAAGAAGAATAACTCATTTGTAAGAAAATGAATGCACCTTGAGACCATAATGTTAAATCAAATAAACCCACAAGCTTAAATATCTCTTGATTTCTCTTATATGAGCATCCCAAAAGTATAACTAAATTAAAAAGCAATATAAAAGATAATAGAAAAATGGAGGTAGATTTTTTTGCCAATGGGAAGGGGACCAAGAGATGCAGGAAGGGGGGAGGTAGATAAGGGGAAGGGGACATAAAAAGAATTAAGATGCGTTACCTCCACGTACTGACTCCGCATGATGAATATAATCATGAGGTACTACAGACACGTACTAATAAACAAAAATTTAAAGAAAACATTATCTGTAAAAATGGTACTCAGGAAAATATCTAACACAATGTAGGAGAAAACTAGAGAAGGGGAATAGCTGCAAGCTAAACATTTTCATTAGTCAGTGCTTACTGGAGTCAGGCGGAGAAGCGTGCCATGTGCGCCTGCGTGCTGGAGACTGGAAGGATCCAGTCCAGGGCGCGGAGCCGGGGCAGTGTCCGGTGTGAGTGTGCGAGTCCGTATCGAGGATCCGCACTGGGAAGGCCCAAGGGCAGTGGTGGAAGCCAGAAAGCCGGTGCCGGCTGGAGGAAGGGTCTGTGCCACCAGGCTGAGCCGTCTGCACTGGAGTCAGGAGGCGACGTCTAAGACGAAGACGAGGACTGAAGCTCTCTCTCCCCACGGGAGACGGCAGCCAAAGCTTTTTGAAGGAAAAGTGGCAGAAAAAGCAGCTTCTTCAGGAAAATCAGCAGCGTGCATTCTCCACCTCCCCTTCTCCTTCCCTGCCGTCCCGCAGCAATCCTCAGGTGGGTCTTTCCCGCCCGGAACCGTGCCGACCCAGTTCAGCTGCCCCCCCCCCCCCCCCCCCCCGCTCAAGTTGGCCATTAGTTAATGCGCCGCACATTAATATCCAAACTAGGGGTCGGGAATAAAGGGGAACACACACCACACCCTCAATACAACCACTAAAAGAGCTACTTCAACAAGAAGAAAAGACCCCAGAGAGACGGCAAGGGATAACAACAAACACTCCCCCAAGTCGGCCCAAAAGCCTAGAACAGAATTGAAGACACCTGTCAGTATATTTAATCAACTCATGCTTGTAGGGAAAAAAGGTTTTTTTGTGCATCTTAAAGCCAAAATGGTGTAACTGAAACACTAGACAGTTATTTAAATATTGGGAGAAACAACTTAGAAGAGAGATTATTCAGAAGTTAAAGCATTTGTAGTTGTCATTTTCAGGAGGAAGAAACATTTTGAATGAGATCATGTCAGAAAATTAATAGTGATGGGCCGGGGATTTAGCTCAGTGGTTTCAGTGCCTGCCTTGCAAGCACAAGGTCCCACGTTCAATCCCCGGTACTCCCCCACTCCCTAAAAAGAAAATTAATAGTGAGGGCTGAGGATGTAGCTCAGTGGTAGAGGATTTGCCATGTTGAGGCTCTGGGTTTGAGTCCCAGCAATGCAAAAAAAAAAAAAAACATTAATAGAAAAATGTTAAAAGACATTAAAAGTAACCACTAAAGGGCTGGGGATTTAGCTCAGTGGTGCCATCACTTGCCTCACAAGCGCAAGGTCCTGAGTTCATCCTGGGTTCATCCCGAGTACCAAAAAAAAGAAAGTAACCACTAAAAAGAATTAGGAGAAACAACAAAAGCAAAAGGCAGAAAAGGAAGAGAAGTACTGACAAGTAAATTAACAACCATAATGTCCACGTGGTAAACTCATTACATGTAGGTTATTTGATCTAATTTTTTAAAGATATAGTTATATGTTGCTTCTTAGGCATACATTTCTTTTTGTTGTTGTTTTTATTTTTTTGAGACAAGGTTTCACTATGTAGTCCAGACTTGAACTTGCTATGTAGCCCAGGCTGATCTCGAGCTCCCTATGTAGCCCAGGTTGATCTCGAACTCATGGCCTGATTCTCCTGACTCAGCCTCCCCAGTGCTGGGATTATAGGCATGCACCACTATGCCTGGCCTTAAGCATACATTTCAACATAACCATAGAAAAGGCCTGACAGTTTAAAGACATAACGATATACCATACAATAGAAATATTAGCTAAAGAAAATTGACTTACCAATAACACTTATATGAAATAGAATTTAAGATAAAAAAGTATTAGAGGGATGAACAGGAAATGATATAATAAAAAAGGAATAATTCATCCAGAAAGAATAAACATGCACTTAGATGCTCTTAAGAAAATATCATTAAAATATGCATATATGGTTAAAAAAAAAACACCTTATATAATTAAAAGGAAAATTAACAAATCCATAACTACATCTTTATTAGAAACTGCAAGATTAGAAAGATTTATATAATTATATTTCAACAACAAAATAAGCTTGAGCTAATAAACATATTTAAAAATATCTTAGAACTGGGCTGGGGATGTAGCTCAGTGGTAGAATGCTTGCCTAGCATGCACAAGGCCCTGGATTTGATCCCCAGTACCACCAAAAATAAAATTATATATATATATATATTCATTCGTCATTCCTTAAATTTCCATAAAGGGAAGCATGTGAGAGGCCCTGGGTTTGATTCTCATAGTTGCCATTGTTGCACAACCTCGTCAATATTTGATGCCAGGTGTGGTGGCACACACCTGTAAACCCAGCACTTGGGAGGCTGAAGCAGGAGGGTCACCACAAGTTCAAAGCCAGCCTGTACTACATAGCAAGACCCTGTCTCAAAAAACCAAAGCCAAAACCAAAACAACCCTTTGTATTATCAAGTCAATTTTTTTTTTACTTTTACTTATTTTTTTTTATGGTAGTAGGGATTGAACCCAGGCCCTCGCACATACTATAGAAGTGCTCTACCACTAAACTACACACCAGACTTACTTTTGAGACAAGATCTCACTAAATTGCCCAGGCTGGTCCTGAACTTGTGATCCTCCTTCCCCAGGCTCCCAAGTACCTGGGATTACAGGTATGTGCTACCACACCTGGCTAATTTGATTATTAAAAAAATATACTTTTAGGCCAGGTGAGGTGGCACACACCTGTAATCCCAGCACTTGGGAGGCTGAGCCAGGAGGATCACCACAAGTTCAAGGCCAGCCTGGACTACATAGTGAGATCCTGTCTCAAAAGACCATAAATGGTTTTTCTCTTCAAGCGCAAGGACCTGAGTTCGATCCCTGGTACCAAAAAAAAAAAA